CGTTGCTATAGTTTGTAGTTTGTTGACAATTGAATTTTTTTCACTGAAAAATTGACGTTATAAACGTTGTGGGATGTTCCACTGTTCCCGATACAATCCTGTCGAAATCTCATGAAGCAACCGAAAAGTTGGTTCCTAAGAAGTCTGCCGCAAGGTATGAAAAAGAGTACTAAGTGTTTTGCCAATTGAGGAACGAACATGGGGCGAAACAAGTAGAGGAAAAAGTCATGTTGGCATACTTTTTGGACGCAGTAAGTTTTTGAATTGAGATTTGTTTGCCTGGGTTTCGGTGTTAAAGCGTCATGGAGCATGGAAAAGCTCATCGACGGCAGAAAAATACATCGAAGGCTCGGTAGAAGGAAAAGTTAAAATTGCCCGTATGATACAACTGATACAAGGCGGCGAACATTTCATTGAAGTTCTACAGCAGAAGGAATCAAACATTACTAACTCGACATCCAGTAATAACCCAGGCGTAGTGTTGAAGGCAATACAAATTGTTTCATTACAATCAATGTTAATGTTTGAAATAAAGAATTACAGTCAAATTTATGTTGGGGTTTTCAATTAATTGTGTGAAGATGTCAAATTTGATGTATACAAATAACAGTCCGGTAAGTGTTGCTTAGCGACACTTACCGGCTCTGATGCTGTAATAACTCACCTATCGGACTCAAAATGATAGTGTAATCGAACATCTACCGGACAGTATGAAATAAAAGTCCCAAACATCTTTAAAAATCCAAAATACACTTGCTTAAAGGATCTAGAGTGCGCATTTAAGAGTCCTGGATAGTTTTAAAAATACTTGATATTCTTTAAGGCTCCAAGAGTGTTCCAGAAGTTTTTAGAATTCTTCAAGTTCTCTCCTTTGCTTAAGAGCCGAGCTATGAGAACATTAATTTGTAACTCTTAACGGCAGAGATTTTCAAGCTATTTAGTAATGTTCTCCTGATACCAGACGGATAAAGTAAAAAAAAAGTGCTCCTCGTTACCAGACAAATTTTGTAAGAGTTTGTTAACTCAATACTCAATGTATTAAGAGCAGAAACACCGTCCTCCTGGCACACTATGTTGTCCTAATACAGGGTCAATAAAAGGTTAAACCAAATTAAGGCGTTGAAATATTTCTCGTCCTTACATAAGAAGACATTCTGATCCAATATGTTCCCCTAAAAGTCACAGAAATTTTTACAAGAGTTCACTAACTATCGCAGTATTTTGATAAAACAGTAGAAGAGGAAGGTGGAAAGAAAGAAATTTCGTTAAAAAGCAGACGACGGACGTCAATTGTTGCATCTTTGGTAGTGGACATTTAAAATGTAGCCGTTTGTTTTGGGTGATTAGAAGATTTGTCGTTACTTCATAGGACAGTCTGTCTTGTTTAGTTGTAAAGTTCTGTATAGAAGAAAGCTAGGCAGTGCTTTGACGTCGTGATAAAAATTAATGTCAAATCGTGTTAAGCGGAGGCGTGTTTTTACGTTTACGAAGTTTAGTTACAGTGCTGTGGTTATCGAGGGTTTATCGCTTAACACTTAAAGGGAGGTTTGGATTATTGACTTTAAAGTAATTAGGATTTCTTTAATTAATTGCTCTATAGATCACTTGCTGCGTGTTATTTGTTATTCTGGCCTTGAGTGCATGTTTTTCTTTCAGCTTATTTGATTGTTTTATGTCGAATAAATTTCTTGATCTGTAAATGGTTGCTTTTGTGATAAATCGAGCCCAAATTACGACCCAGATAAGAGTTCTACCCAACTGCATTAGGTGTTAATTGAACATTTGTTAATTAATTCTTTGGAATGTTAGAGGCGGTTAAGGTGTCTTTAGTGCGACGGAGATTTGGTGATTTCGCGAATTGGAGATTTCTTTTATTGGTCGAGCGCGGTCACGTGATCTAAAAGCCGAAGGGGGGGAAATCGCTATTAGCTATTGGAAAGACGGTAGAATCTAAATTTAGGTATGAATGCAGCCTTAAGCGTATGAACGTATGTGCGTTTTAGCATTGCGAAGAAATTATAATTGTTGGTATTTTATTTAACCGCAAGGCAGCAAAAAGGGGAATTACAAATATAAAGTATTAATCGCGGTTTGAAATGCAATTCAGATAAATAGTAGATAAATAGAATAGGATCATCAGTACTGCTTTACGTATGTATATTCGAAAGTAGAGTTCGTTAATTACGTTTACTGTGCAGGGAAATTAAAAGTTTTCAAAAGCTCTAGAAAACTTTTGGAGTTTCTTGGGACTCATGCAAGGCTCTTGGTCATTTGGAAGCTTTCTTGGAAGAGGAAACATGAGCCACACAATGCCTACAAGAAAGAAAAGCGTACAACGCTTGCTTGGACATATTACTCCACACGCAGACGGTCGACAAATAAACTTATTTTAAAATTCCTTACAGTTTTTTTTCTTAATATTCGAAATAATTCGGTCCTATAAGATTCGCGATACTAAGCTCACAGCTCACACAAATGCTGACAACTTCTGAACCTTATTTTGCTTTATAACACAGAATTAGATGATAAATGAATAAGATGAACAAATTTTCAATGGCTATTCAGACGGTAGAAACTTTTAACGTTTAATAAGAAGAGAATCTCAACAAAATGTCTCGCTGTGCACTACAATTGCTTCTTTTTTTAACTCGACAAGACTTTCCGTAATCGGAACACGCGTTAATCTTCTCACTGGACTAACTTGCTTCTCCACAGATTTTGTAACGTGTTGTTATTTCGTTGAATGTACCCTTAGTTCGAGTAATTGACTGAATGCCCCGGAATGCCCTTTAGTGTGTTAGAAGTGGTACGAATGGGGATGGGGAAATATCATTTTTGCTTTTCTTCTTAATTTTGCGAAAGATGTTGAAAGTTGAAAATTCCAGAACCAAATTGTCTAAATTATCTATCAAAACGTATTTACGTGAATTGTTTATATCTTTTCGAGGTAATATTATTGTCATAGGATTTCTTATTTCGTTAACACGTTTCTTTATAGGTTATGCCACATGTTTTAATTTAATTACCTATCTTTCTTTTACCTATATCTCAATTCGAAACCCATTTACGTAAGTTTGGAGTATTTGGATTTTAGTGTGATATTGGTATTGCAAGTTTTTGGATATAACTTTCGTGTAACTAGCATTAATACTCCTATCGATGAAGTGCCTTTCTCTTATGAAATTTTAAAACGAGTTCACCCTAAGATTGATATGATCTGCTTAGCTTGGACTCATCTAACGCAAGGTTTTCCAATGCAATGTGTGAAATATCGAAGCAGCTGCCAAAGTGCAAGTAATCTGTAATTGCCTTGGTCGTGTTGTTTTCCGTTGTCGTATATTGTTGTATTGTAAAATGCCTTTTAATTTATCTTTTGCCTTTGTCGTTAATGTACGTAAGGCGAGATAAATCAGTTAGTTAAGTTATCTTCCTGTCTGTAAATGAGAATAGATTAAGATATAGCTTATAAAGCAATTGGCTGTGCTGAAAATTTGCATTTAGTTCAGTGTAACCCAGAATATGTAATTAAATATCATCAATAGTTTTTAATTTTTTACTTACTTTTCTGCGTGATGTGTTCACGCCTGCCTCCCAAAATTATGTGAGCTTTGTCAAATAACTCGTCAATCGACTACGAAATGCGCCAAACGTCCCCACCTCGGCAGTATGAAACACGCAATTCTTCGTAACACCTTACCTAAATTGAATAAATTACATATAAAAGGGTTCCCGCCATTATCGTTTTGGGTTTAGACCGAAATAACTCCTACACAATGTTTACACAACAATGTATAGGCTGAAAGACCGATAGATTGTAGACAACGATTTCCGAAACTCGTTACCAGGTCACTGCGTTATAGAATTCAATTACGCAGAACAAATTGTCGCTAATGTTAACTGGAAATCGCGAACTTTCTCACAAATATGAATTTACTAAAATATTGAAGTTATAAAGCCTATAATTTAACCACCCTATACTTACCCTTTACTATCAAAGAATGCGCCCCCCAAAAAAATTACACAGTTTTTGCATTCGATAACTTAAAGATTCGTTAAAGACTATAGTTTGTTATGAACCCCTCATTATCTTTCTACTAGCGAACAATTTTGTTTTTAAATTGCCCACGATCAAAGTGCTTAAAGGTAATTAAAAGACGTTCAACTCTAAAACTTCCACAAAAGCTCGGGCTGCATTGTATCTTATAAAATTAAGCTTTAGAAGTGCATTCAAGGGTTTAAAAGAATAGTAATCCTCTTTACCATAGCAAATTTACAAAAGAAATGAGCAAGAGATTGAATAATGATCAATTCCAACATTACAAAAGTAATAAATATAAAACTATATTGGTATTAATTAATATTATTATACTATCAGGCAGTGGAAAACAATTCCATTCTAAACTTTGAATTAGAACTTTCGGAACTCGAAAGTCGTTTAATATAGTACTCCCTTTCAAGCGTTTCTGGTAAAATTTATAACTGAACTCAATCTGTTTTTATTATTTAGTTGTTTTAACTGTGGGGGTTACAATCTCAACTTGGAACCATATTTCAAACGCGATTAGCGGTATTAACTGAAACTTGTGCCGGAATTGAGGGGTTATAAAGTCAGTTCATGTTTTCGTGCCAGTTTGCGGTATTCAAATCGAATTTTCATAATGCATGATTTCTATTCCCTGTAGTACATCTATCGGCAAATCGTATTTCGTCCCGAGCATAAAACTCCATTCAAATTTCAGAATTGAATTCAAATAATCGCGTCTAATCCTTTCTTCGAACAATTCTGAAAAGTGACGAGAGGACTCTGCGTATTCTGCATGACAAAAGGGCTCGAGATGTCCTGCCCGGTGCTTTAAGTTTCTATTATCGATTTTTCCGGCTCTGCACCAGACAAGTGCATAATACCTCAACTTATCTTGATTGATAGATCGTCCGAGAAAAGTCTATCCGGAACGTTCATTTATTCTCGAATCGATTTACGAGTGCACTTTTTGTTTCAGTTACCAGAAGGAGTGCAGCTAACACTGAGCGAGCTGCGCGAGATGGCTTGCAGGCAACAAGCACAGATTGATTCGCAGCATCAGCTACTAGCCGCGAAGGAACAACGTTTGAGGTATTTAAAGGACCAGGAGGCCAGGCAGCAGAGGGTGCAGGCCGAGACGGAGCGGCTGCGAAGGCTTAGGGACCGCGTGGATGCTCAAGAACTGAAATTGCGTAAACTACGTGCTCTTAGGGGACAAGTGGACCACCATAAACAAAATAATATATCTCTCAGTAAGTTTTTATTACTTTTTGCGTAATCTAAAATTCAGGGGGATGGTGTGTTCTTGGGTAAAAACAGCGATGATCTCTTTTTACAGAATGTGTCAGAAATAAATGTGAATCTTTAAAAGAACGAGCTCTCTTACAACTTACAGTAGTTACATATATGGAAGTAATTAGTCATGTCGATAAAGTTGTCACGTGAGGTTGTAATGTGCCTATAATTGAGGGCTAAGTAATTAAAGATTAATATGTGTCCACCAAATTATTTTTTGTATACTCTGTATGGCATCATTTGATTCAACACGAGGATAAAGTATACACGAAATTACGCTTTAAATGTATATTGCTCTGACGCTTGAACTTTGGATCATGTACAACACTTCTCAAACCCAGCTAGGTGTTTAATGAACATTTTTCTCGGTACACATCCGTACCCCGACACAGAAAAATAATTCAATTCTGATTTTAAATTCCTGATTCCAAGCAAATACTGGCCAAGATCAAAACCCAAACGGCCAGTTACCAAATTATGAAAATCACTTAAAATGAACTTTGGGCGCGAATCAATAAAATTAATCGTAATTGAGCATGAGATTTCACTCTTCGTCGTTAAATGGTTCGAATGAACACACAACTTGCATAATTTTACATAAATAAAATTTATTCTACAGCGAAATTAAATAAATAAATGTTAACAGCAATTTGACTACAGTGTCCGAATAACAAATCCCGCATTTCCGTGCTAATTCATTAAACAACTACCAAGAAATCTTAAAATTACTTACAAATTTCGAGTTACAATCCAGACACACCCAACACAACAACATGTGACACAGAAAACTTGATCTTCTCTTCATTTATTTATTATCCCTCTCTTGTTCTGAGCCCTCAATAGGCTTGCGCCCAATTACAGAGTGACCCGCATAATACTTTTTAGAGGTGCCCCTGCAGAAGGTTTTAAGTTGTTCTATACTACTCCGGTATTTACCTTATTAGAAAAACTGCAGGAAAACCTAATTCGGAGTAGCCCGCAGAATGCTCGAAACTGGTCTAAGGTAATTCCCATCTCTACCACAGATGAAAAATTCACCTCAACCCAGGGTCGAACACCCGACCTCCGGATTTATAGCCCAACGCTCTACCATTGAACCACAAAGTCGGTTCATATCCCCAAAAAGGTGGTAGCGACGTTGATTGTTGTATCTAGCTGACGCAAAAATAAACCTCTTGCCAGGAAAGACTTCCGGTCACAGAACACCTGATTCCGGTCTACAATCTATGTTTTTCTTAAGATGCGAGCGACTTCCGGGATAGTATCGAGTCAATGTTGAACGAAAAGACTTTTCCTTCAACATTGGCACTATCCTACTTCGGAAGTACCTCGCATCTTAAGAAAAACCTAGATTGTAGATCGAGATAAGGTGTGCTGTGACCGGAAATCTTTCCTGGCGAGAGTAATACACCACCGAAACCTGAAACGGTCGTCCGTGTTCCGTAGACGAAAACTTAAAGCGTTAAAGCGTTTGTGTTCTTCAATTTCACATACAAACTCAAACTCGACCTTTAACTTGGCAATAAGCGTCGAACTTGGTGAAAACATTTTTTTTCTAAAATGAACGCAAGTCGGTCTTGAACTTGATAACGCAAACTGCTTTTCCTTGGAGCAGAAACACGCCCCCGCTTCGAATAATGGCAAAAAATCATCTTCAATGGACAGCAAATTTGACAGAAAAAAAAACTTGTATCAACAGCAACTCGGCCTCGAACTTTGGGTAACTACCTTCAAAACGAACAGCAACGCGGCCGCATTTTAATCAATTCCAAGGAATACTCTTTTTTTATAATGAAACAAACAAACAAGACCTTGGCTACAAGCTCAATTCGCAAAATCGTTTTGTATTCATTCGTAAATAATCCCAACAAAATTGAATTGTAATGAAACATTTAATTAATACATTAAAACACCCGGATTCGTTTCAAATGCCTCGATCCAATTCTCAACGTCTCAACTCGGCGTTGTTTAGACAGCAATATATTTGTCAATTTCCGCTGAAATGTGGTTTGAAAAGATGGCCAAGCCATAAGAAATATGCTCACCTCAAAAATGTTGAATGAATTCCAGGTAATTATATAACAACTATAAATTGTGCACAACTCTTGTGCAGATAAAGCGCATTTTTTTAAACAGAAATAAATACCTTTTGATTTGACATCACCAATGGATATAGACTTCTCAATCGCCCTTTGTGAGTACCCTCTTCCGACAATCCGTTCTTGAGGTATAAGGATCACGATAAGAGGGCGAGACCGTTCATTAGAGTACCATGAAAGATAAAACTAGCCCCCCCCCCCCTCAAGCCCTGTCGCTCACTGATCTCGAAAAAGAGTCGCACGGGAAAGTTATAGTTTGTACAAACCAATTTATTTCGATGAGACCTTTCATTAGAATACCATGAAGGGTAGAACATTTTTTTTAATTCTTAAAAAATGCGCTAAAAATCAATATGAAGTAAGCCACAACCTGAACTATAGCTTATAAAAAGACGAAGAAGAATTCCACATGATGTCCAAAATAATTTCATGAATTCCAACAGAATTCTATGAATTCTAAAAGAGTTTCATACATTCCTAGACGTTATACACCAGAATTCCACAATACCTTTTGCACTATTTTGCAATGTACGATTTTTTGACTTTTTAATTTAAAAAAATCGCCAAATCAAATAGACTCTCTGCCAAATTCGACAAGTAGAAGTTAGGACCAATTTGTTCCCACACCCCACTAGCATTTCTAAAAATGTGTTTTTCTTGAAATTTGAGTTTTCCTTTTTGTAATATGCGATTTTTGAGCTCTCTCATAAAGAAGACATGAAATCTTAACTCTTCCCGTATGACACTGAGAAAATACGAGGGTAGTAATAACAGTGAAATCAAATTAACGAACGGAGATACTGGTTTATTAATTAATCCATTAAATCGCAAAATAAAATTGTCTCCAAAATTGAATAGCGTACAAATAGAAAATGTCCCCAAATATTCAAAAATTATTTATTGCCTATTTCAAACTCTAAGTAAACCAAATGTTCAACTACAATTCCCCAATTAACCAAACCCCCAATCTAGGCTAGAATGATGGATTAGTAACTTTTCTGGAACCTTGAAGTTTCAATTTTGAATTTGATTTCTTGAAAGCTTGAATCTTGAAATAGAATATTGAAGATTACTTATTTTTGAAAATTACACTAGTTTGACTGTTGAGCTTTACTCTTATACTCCTGAATATCTAAGTTAAATCTTGGGAGCTTTTCTTTTAATCGTTTAATTCTTGCATTTGAATTTTTAATCTTGAATGACAGATCATGTTTCTCATAATTTCTTTGTACCTTGGGACGGCATCTAAAGCTTGAACCTTGAATATCGGAGACAGTATAAAACTTGCAGCCTTTTTTTCTGGTAAATACGAAAAGAACTGTTCTTTCATTTTGCTGCATTTCTAACGAAGTTTTCCAAAAAGTGACCAAGAGTTTTGCCGTTTACCCGACAAAATTTGTGAGACCTTGTTTCATCCCGAGTAGTTTGTAATTATTCCCTGTCGTTATTAGGGTCATTTGATAAATCTTCTGTTTTGAAAAAGATAATGATACATTTCGTCGTTCGTGGAAGGTTCGCGAGTTTTTAGAAAAAAAAACAATACTCCATACATAATTTTTTACATAAGTTTTTGTGTATTTTTATTTATAAATTAAGTTTAAATACATATTTTCCTCTTTCTCCCTTGTTCCTCTTTCTCCCTTGTTCCTCTTGTCGTTGTAAATTAGCTACACTGACGATGCGTCATGTTTTGGTATCCAAGACTTTTTACTTCTTTTTCACACCTATTAATTAACAAATCACAAATGAATTTTTTGAATGCCATACTTTCTAAAAGACTAGAACCGAAAAGAACCGTTATGGACCGAAAAAAATGCGCAGAACCGAACCGTTATTTTTTTTAGAACCAAAACCGGACCGGAACCGTTATAACTATTTTCGCTTAAATATAAACAGAACCAGAACTAGGTCCGGGTTCCTGTTCACGTGTTCCAGTAGCAGTTTTTTTGCGTATTTTCCTCAAAGTGAAAAATCTCTATTTGCTGCACTTTGTCGTCTGTTTGTCCATCACACGTACTCCTTCTACACGCCTGAACCGATTTGGGAAACATGGGGCTCATTTGAAAGGGCTTGGTCGAAGAATTCCGTGCATACCGATATTTTTTTGGTTTTGCGCATGCGCAGTGTCAAAAATTTGGTTTAACGCATGTGCAATGCTAACTTTTTTATTTATTAAGATATTTAAATAAAACTTTATACCTATATAAACACTACGACTATAAGTAAAATTAACGAAGTTTTCCAAACATTGTTTTGCGCATGCGCAGTGCCAATTTTCTTATTTATGAAAGCATTGAAATGAAACATACACTTCGAATAAAAGTAAAACTATTGCCCATTTCAAAATTTGTTTATATTTGTATACGCTCCACTATTTTCATTACCCTGTATAGACCGACGATAGGCGGATCATTTGAAAGAGAATGGGGTAAGGAGCTCGTGCCTACCGGTATTTTTTCCCGGTCCTAGCATTAATATTATTACGAGGAAAATACGCTTTCATCATTTATGTGTGCATAATGACTTTTGAACTTGTTTTAATTTGTTTTTACCACCCGCGAGTTAGTAAGGGAGGTATTTCATTGTGGTAAAAAATCACCCCCCCCCCACTTTTTTGAGGGATATACACGTTTTAAAGCACCAAGAATCCGAATCTGGTGTCGATTGGTCTATTGGTGTGTCTGTCTGTACACATATTCTTTGACATAAAAGGGCAGAACCGCGCATGCGCAAGTGTGCGGGTGGTATCTTTGCTAGCCACAGCTAATTTCTTCGTCTTCCTTTGACCATTGTTTTGTCACTGGGACATTGGTGTAGGGAGAGGAAAGGGAAAGGGTGTAAATTTGCGTTAATCACGA